TGTGTGTGTGTGTGTGTGTGTGAATATACGTGTGTGTGCGTGCGTGCGTGTGTGTGTGTATGTGCCTGTGTGCGCGCGCCTGTGTGTGTGTGTGTGTGCGTGTGCGTGTGTGTGTTTATGTGCGTGTGTATGTGTGCGCGTGTTCGTGCGTGCCCGTTTGTGTGTCCGAGGGGATACTGTCTTTGTTCCTTTAGAAGACACCCATGTTCAAAACAGGATACATGTATTAATTTATTACATTTCCATGTTTTCAAACTAACGTTTGATTTGTACCATGCATCTGATAAATACAAATTATGATACAGTAGCCTACTTTTGTTGTTGTTGATGATGGTAGTGTTCTTGTTTATTTCGAAATAACGTTTTAAAATGTAGACTATGTATTAATATTATGAGACGAGCGATTTCTCTTTCTTTAAAACGAAGGACTTGCATTGGAAAGCAATAGTAATTCCATTAGAATGAGATTATAGTTATGTTTAACATCCCTGAAAATACGGTATGATCTTTTAATAAACGAGAAATCCAAATTTTGCGTTTATTTCTGATTTGACCAAGCCAAGTGGAAGGAAAACCATGAAAACTGAAAACATCTGCTTGAGGATTAGAACCTGAACCATCCCCTCGATACCAACAAACTCACAGAGACATCGGCATGCGCCTACAAAGACAAAGTAATCATGGTGTAATCTTTGGTTAATGAGCAAATATGACATCTTTGTTCCTGACTTCATTGTGGAAAAGTTAAGGAAAAAAACCATGATATTGGTGTTGTACTTGCTTTCCTTTGTCACTATTGTGCCTGAAGTGCTGGCGGTGCACCAAAGTTCAGGAGGAAGCTTTTGACCTGGGCATCTACCTCACGTGATCAGTTGATAAAACCATAAAGTTTGCCAATGATACAAAAATCATTACATGTATTTCTGTTCACACCATCGTCCAGTCGAGTGGTTTCTTCTCATTTTCGATTTTTAAAAAATAGTTGTTATTGGTATCTTAATGACCCTTTCTTTTGGATGCCAGATATTGTTCCACAGAAATTCATTACAAAAGTGAGAAACATCTTCATAAATGTTTAACACCTTAAACAATGTACAACAGGCTGTTAAGGCCAACTTGAGGGAGAAACAGCATCTCCAGGCAGATGAAGATACTCGGTAAATGTAAGGGGTGTTATAACTACTATAAATCTTAAGGGGCTGGGATTTCGGTGATTTTTAGCCCGCAGTCATTCTGACGGGGTGCTGGAAAAAAGTAGGTGTTAGCTAGTACATGTACTATTGTTAGTTACCAATGAATGTATTTTTCTCTTTTTTATAGTCTTGTCCGACAGGCTCATAAAATGTTTTTTAAATGTGCGACTGGTATTTGTAGTAATATTTGTGGTGAATCTTAGAATCATTTGACTTGATTATTGAGATCATGCACTACACAGGACAAGAAAAGAAAACCAAACGATCTGTACCTCACAATAGATTAACCCTTATGAAACCATTACCTACTGCGCTACCATAGAATTGCAAAGCTCTGTCTGACTTTTTGGGGACGTTGAAGTTATTAAGACCATGAAGTCAGAAACCAAATGTTCTATCTGCTCTGTCAAAATCGTAAGATTATTCGGAGTCGTTATCAAGATATATTCTAAGACTTGCATTCGAAAAAAGCGGACTTACGAAACTCAAAGATTTTAGTGTCAAATTTCTCAAAATTAGGTAATGGAGAGACAGAACTTTGTAATCTATGGTAGCGATTGGTTGGCGCATCTAGAGCAGCCGTGTGGAGACATGTATGAATTAAATTGTTTCATTTTTGTTTGTTTGTTTGTTTTTAGTAAAGAGAGGTATATAGATCTAGACAGGATTTTCATTTAGTGCAGCGACAAAGTAAGACAGGCAGACAGAAACAACACAGAAAGAAGACCTACCAGTGGCAACAACTTTAAGAACGAAAATCTTTTTCTTCTGCTTTACCTTGAAAGAGGTACACGTCATGTAGTGGAAGTGCACGATATGTCTGTGGTTAGTATACGACACAAGAGCAATTTACAAACTGGTGTGGACGATATTCCGTTTGTTTTTTGGACTAAGATTATTACAAAATGTCAAGAGTATTTTCGAAATATGTCGTACGGTACCAGTGGTAATCAGAATGAATTTTACTTTAGGGACAAAACTTGGGGCACTTAGGGAGGAAATATTTTTATGATATCACGCATTCGGGTGAAAATCCACTGTGCGTATCTGGAGTAGAACGTATGGTATTCATGGTTGTGATGAACACTGGAAAATAGTGTACCAAAGCAAGAAAACTCGGTTCTGAAACTTGAATTGGAAGATCATGCCTATTATTTGCCCTACAAACAT